ACTTATTAGTATGAATAGGTAATACATTTATAAATGAACATAGTATCATAACAATTTATTTGTTACATACAAAAACATAATAATACTATACATAACATTATCGGCTATACGTGTTTCATAAGATATCTGAATTATAAGATGTTGAATACAATATGGACACTAGGGCAGGGAATGGGTCGGGTCACAGGCTCGGTACCAACCCGAAAATACAACATGGGATCGGGACTCAGACCCTGACTCAAACCCAACCAAGTCAATAATAGTCGGACCCAGAATTTACATGGAGGACCTGGACGGTTATACATAGAAAAATAAAAATTAACTAAAATTTTTTTTAAAAAAAACCCTAAAAAATGTGTACCTAAAACCTACCAAAAACTATTAAAAATTACCAAAAACATGTAAATACCTAATAAGAAGACTTGTGCAATAATTCACCGATTTTCTCTTTTTAGACTAATAAGAAGATCTACAAAGAAATAATTGAATTTTTTTTTTTTTTACAAGAGATGGGAGTGATGAGATCTTCGTCGAGCAAGTCTTGCCACAATGCCGCAGTAGTGTGATTTAAGCGAGCAAAGTCGATTGCTTGCCACCTTGAACATTACAAGATAAGCATCAAAGAAATGGAGAGACACCCATGTTTGGATCACAAGGCATCTAGATTTATATTGATGAAGTACCACAAATTTAAGCTTACTAAGAAGTCAACAGATAGTCTTGTTGAATTATTAAGGAAGAGATAGACCTCTCCCAGTACTACTTGCAGCGTTGTGAGACTGAAGATCCTAGAGTGAAGGGTTTCCCAGAACAATGAGAACTCTCCGTGTGTTGCAACCCCATGGTTATGAAAAGCTTAGTTATAGAGGATGGAGGAGGTCATTCTTTAATGTTCGGTTTTTTCTTTAAAACTATGAAAAATGTGTCTCTGTAATCTTTGGATGTTGGTAGTTATTTTCTACCCATTGGATAACAGCACTCTCTCTCTAAGAGAGGTCCTTATTTAGTGATAAACATAATATTTATGATAAAAATTAAAAAGAGAAAAAATAACAAATATGAGGGCCCATGGTCACCCATATGTACCAACGGGTCTATGCTCCAAAAACCCAAGCGACCCCACACAACTTGGTTCCATTATTTATTGGATCACAAGGCACGCAATGCAACAATTGAAGTTCAATCAGTAGCAATAGTAAACCACCCATATATACCAACAGGTCTATACTCCAAAACCCCAGCGACCCCACGCAACTTGGTTCCATTATTTATTGGATCACAAGGCAGACAATGCAACAATTGAAGTTCAATCAGTAGCAATAGTAAAGAGATTTGCCTCTTCTGCCTTCTGCATTTAGATTTTAGAGAGAGAGAAGGATCAAACGATAAAAGGTAACATGCGGAGAGAAGAGAGATTCAATTTTTTATGCCGATGATGTAGTAAGATACCATGCGGAGAGAAGAGAGATTAAATTTTTTATGCCGATAATCCAGTTATTTTTTGTGAAGCTTCTAACTCCACAGCAAGAAATAGGAATGTGAATGAAAGTAAGTTTTTTGAGGAATACCCCTGGGATCTAAGCATTTAATCTTGAAATAGCTAGGTTTTAGTGAAGGTTCCTTCCAGTAAGATACAAGACAAGTATAATTCTAAAATGACTTTTTCCTTAATGCAATTATTTTAATTACTATACTTTTTTAAACTAAATTTGCTAACACAAGTTTAATCCTAAATTAAAAATAGACTTAAATTGTTAAGAATTTTCTGTATTGGAATTATTGTAATTACTGTAACTACAATAATTATTGTGAATCTCTGCAATCACAATAAACCAAAATCGGTCTATTATAAACTCAAATAACGGCTCTCTCTCTTGTGTGTTTTGTATAAGGAGTCGATCTTAAACAATTAAAATAAGGCGCACTTCCAAACCATGCCAAAAGATGCAGTTCTAGTATAAGAAACCCTTAAATGCTTAAAACTGTATTTTCACATCTAATTATAAAATATAAAGCTTTAAAAATAGTTCAAATTGAGCATATCTATAAACACTTGATAATTTAAAATGCATTGTTTCCATAACTTGAAATTTTGTTTTTTTTCATATCCATATATCTCAAGGTTGAGATGATCATATGGATAATTTTTTTGCATCAACATCTTATTTTTATAATATAAGGCGGATACCTCATATAAACTTTTTTTTTAGAAAAGGCAAATTATGTCATGCGGGATGGACCACATTTCTACATATGCAGCCCAGAAAGTACAAAGCATCCATCTAAAAGATAGATGCAAGTAGGTGCTCCATCTAAAAACAATAGAAACTAACAGTCCAAATTGTTTTTTTAATAGTAATTATTATTTT